GGTGTTGAATCCAGATGTGGTCTTTCAGCAGGTCGGTGTTGATCTTCTGTCGAGGGGGGGCACACTGTGGGGGACCGGGGACAGGAACCCTGCCTCGTTTATCCCTGCCCCTGGTGCTGAGCTCACGCCTGGTCAGAAACAGCTGGCTTAGCGAGCATCCAATGAAGGACCCACAGCGTAGATATAAGGGCAGGCCCCGCCCGCAGCAGGACTGAAGTTGATGACCTGCACGGCTTGGTCGTCCAGCTCCAGGTGGGCTTGGCAGATCACTGTGCAGATGCCCAATGCTGCTCAGGTTCCCAGGGGGAGGCCCAGGAGGGCTGGGCTGCTGCGGAAGGCTCACCAAGGCGGTGGGCACGGGGGGCTTCCAGGGAGGAGGACTGGGAAGGTGAGAAGGCACCGTCTGTGCTCAGGACAGAAGGAGCACTGCTTTGCTGAGGCATCTCGTGGAGAAGATGTGAGAAAGCTGTAACAGATTCACCTGTGGGATTTGTTCCTTTTCGTCAGTCATCCCAAGCGTGAGTCAAAAGCATGAAAGATGTCCCAGAGCAGCTTGAGTAGAATTGGTGGGGTCGCCCAGCTGTGCTGTGGGTGGTGGGATTTGGTCCCCTCTTGGCCTGGAAGATGGCCTGTGGCTTACTGAGCCGAGGCGGTGCCCAGGACACACAGACAGGGAACAATGTTCTGTCGTTTCCTTCTCCTTGCTTCTCCTCAGTCAGAGGGAGGACAAGAAGGGGAGGATGATGAAGCGGGGAGAGGAGGCCCTGCCAGCTCCCTGCTTCTCTGAGGGCTCAGAAGACTCCATGTGAATGGCAGGTGTTCTGGGGAGGCAGTGTGTGGCCAGTGGGCCCAAGAGACAGGGATACCGCACGTGCGAACAGGAGCTGGGTGGCGCTGTTCCACCCAAGGCACGGCGCAGACCCGAGCTGGAGACACCTCTGTCATAGGGTCAAGACATGAACTCTGAGCCAGAGAGACCTGGATTCAAGCCTAGTACCTATCCAAGTGCTGGTACTTCCTTGACATACATCTTTGGCGAGTAAACTCACCTGTAAAATGGGAATAACAATAGTGCCTCCTGCCTTATAGGCCTGATGAGATAGGATATGTGGCAAATGCTTGGGAAATGCCTGGCCAGATATAATTCAAAGTCCAAGATGGGACAGATACGGGGGAGATTTTGTTTTGTCTCAAGCCATATTTAACTGTAGTTGGCGGACACAGATGGTCTGAGCTGGTGGCCCCTAAGAGACCTTCCAACTCATTATACAGATGGGAAAATCAAGACCCAGAGGAAGTTGCCAAGCCAGGAATAAAATACAGACTTCTCCCTGGAGCTGCCTTCCTCCCTGGTGGCAGGGGCAGGGCTCCATATACAGGCTGCGTCACCATCTTCTGGAGCTGCTTATCCATCCAGGACTCTACCTTGACCTGGTTTGCTAAAGGAAGCCCTTCCAGGAAACTATTTCCTT